ACATATAAAGATACACAACATATCCCTCCAAACTGCAATAACTGCAAACTCCATAAATAATTTGTAATTTTTATTCACACAAAAAATATAAGATTTACTGTTATGCCTTATTGTAATAACTGTAAAACTAATGTCAACCCATTCATGACTGCATATTGGAATGGACAGTGATGTCATTTGTTTACTCTGAAACAGCCAAGCAATGGACCATTTCTCCTAGATTGAGCTCAATTTCAAGGCACTTTTCGTTGTGAAAGCAACCAAAATCATATCTATTTCTGTAATATATCTTCCATTCTATCAAATGAGACCAAAAAAACGAGAATACAACCATAAAAAACTTTCAAAATTACCACTAAGGGGTGGCTAATTGCTGAGAAGTGAACTCCATTATTTATGCTTAGATTTCTTTCATTTTTGGTGTACTTTAAGAAGCATTTTTCCATCATACATTGCCCAAGTTTCAATAAGACAGTTCAACAAATAAATGAGATACAATTCCCGAGATCAAGAGCAAGAGCCCCTCACCAGTGTTGAGGAACCTGCCTTGAGGTCTGCTCGCTTATGGAAATTTTGCTTGCTTATGGAAGCAAAAAATCGACCCATTGACTGTTCGTATTTGGAAAAACTCGCACGTGGACACGCTCACAAGTAGAGGTTCCACTGTATTAGATTTTTATGGGCAAATATTTAGCAAGTCTAAAACATTTAACCCTTTCATGGTCGGTGCGTACCTGTACAGCTTGAGAGCCAGGGTCGGTGCCGTACTTGTACGCGTAAATTCCAGTGCCTTCAAATTGAGTGGAAGAAAGCTGGTAGGTCTACACATGAAAGAACGGGTCTGCGTAGTCAGTGTGCGCAGTATAAAAAAAATCCTGCAGTACGCAATGCATAATGAGAAAAAAACTTCGACCATGTTTTTGGTTTAAAACAGCGACTTTGCAGTATATTTTCATACGGTATTTGTGGTTGTATTCTCATTTTTTGGTCTCATTTGATAGAATGGAAAATATACTACAGAAATAGAGATGATTTTGATTGGTTTCACGATGAAAAGTACCATGAAATTGAACTCAAATTAGCGCAAATGTTCTATCTTTCCCGATGTTCAAGAGTAAACAAATCACGCCACACGTCCATACACATCAACTGGCGAGACTTTATTATTGATTTGTTTTATTTTGTATCCGGAGAGTTTATTATTATGAACCTTTAATTCGCATCCATAGCACAATAAATTTAACCCTTTCCAGGTTTCCGACATATTAGTACAGCTTACGCACCACGGTTATTGACGTACTAGTACGCCTAAATTCTAGCTCCTTCAAATCTAGTGAGAGAAAGTTGGTAGGCCTACATATGAAAGAATGGGTCTATGTGGTCAGTGTGCACAGTATTAAAAAATCCTGCAGCACACAGTGCGTAATGAAAAAAAAAAAACTTTGACAGTGTTTTTGGTTTAAAACAGCGACTCGGCACCGTATTTTCATATGGTATTTACGGTTGCATTCTAGTTTTCCTGGTCTCCTTTTATAGAATGGAAGACATATTACAGAAATTGAGATGATTTTGATTGGTTTCACAATGAAAAGTACAGTGGTCCCTTGTTTATCATCGTTAATCCGTTCCTGGAAGTGCAACGGTTATCGAAATAGACAATCTTCGAATCAATTTTCCCTACCTGGAGAGAGTTCAGGGGGTCAACGCCCCCGCAGCCCGGTCTGTGACCAGACCTCCTGGTGGATCAGAGCCTGATCAACCAGGCTGTTGCTGCTGGCTGCACGCAAACCAACGTATGAGCCACAGCCCGGCTGGTCAGGAACCGACTTTAGGTGCTTGTCCAGTGCCAGCTTGAAGACTGCCAGGGGTCTGTTGGTAATCCCCCTTATGTATGCTGGGAGGCAGTTGAACAGTCTCGGGCCCCTGACATTTATTGTATGGTCTCTTAACGTGCTAGTGACACCCCTGCTTTTCATTGGGGGGATGTTGCATCGTCTGCCAAGTCTTTTGCTTTCGTAGTGAGTGATTTTCGTGTGCAAGTTCGGTACTAGTCCCTCTAGGATTTTCCAGGTGTATATAAATCATGTATCTCTCCCGCCTGCATTCCAGGGAATACAGGTTTAGGAACCTCAAGCGCTCCCAGTAATTGAGGTGTTTTATCTCCGTTATGCGCGCCGTGAAGGTTCTCTGTACATTTTCTAGGTCAGCAATTTCACCTGCCTTTGAAAGGTGCTGTTAGTGTGCAGCAATATTCCAGCCTAGATAGAACAAGTGACCTGAAGAGTGTCATCATGGGCTTGGCCTCCCTAGTTTTGAAGGTTCTCATTATCCATCCTGTCATTTTTCTAGCAGATGCGATTGATACAATGTTATGGTCCTTGAAGGTGAGATCCTCCGACATGATCACTCCCAGGTCTTTGACGTTGGTGTTTCGCTCTATTTTGTGGCCAGAATTTGTTTTGTACTCTGATGAAGATTTAATTTCCTCATGTTTACAATATTTGAGTAATTGAAATTTCTCATCGTTGAACTTCATATTGTTTTCTGCAGCCCACTGAAAGATTTTGTTGATGTCCGCCTGGAGCCTTGCAGTGTCTGCAATGGAAGACACTGTCATGCAGATTCGGGTGTCATCTGCAAAGGAAGACATGGTGCTGTGGCTGACATCCTTGTCTATGTCGGATATGAGGATGAGGAACAAGATGGGAGCGAGTACTGTGCCTTGTGGAACAGAGCTTTTCGCCATAGCTGCCTCGGACTTTACTCTGTTGACGACTACTCTCTGTGTTCTGTTAGTGAGGAAATTATAGATCCATCGACCGACTTTTCCTGTTATTCCTTTAGCACGCATTTTGTGGGCTATTACGCCATGGTCACACTTGTCGAAGGCTTTTGCAAAGTCTGTATATATTACATCTGCATTCTTTTTGTCTTCTAGTGCATTTAGGACCTTGTCGTATAAGAAATAATGTAAATACAATTATTCCATTCCTGACACCCAGAAGTATTAAAACAAAAATTTTTTTTACATGAAATATAGATGTAGTACATAAACAATACAATGGCACATGATGAATGAAACATTAACAGCAATACACTTACCTTTATTGGCAATTCTTCTTAGTGTATGGAAGACTGGAGGAGGAGAGAGATTGGATTACTGTTTGGAAGGGGAATTCCCTTCCATCAACACCTCAGGTACCAAGTCCTTTTCTGGGGCTACATACTTCTCTTCTCTGTTTCTTAATGCCACTAGGACCAGCTTGAGAGTCACTGGAGTCCTGTCTCGCAAAAGAAGTGTCCAGAGAGCTCTGTTTCTGGCGTCTCTTTAAAACTTCCCTAAAATGGGCCAAGACTCTGTCACTGTACAAGTTGCCAATATGGCTTGCAACATCCTTCTCAGGGTGATGTTTTTCCATAAATATTTCCATCCTACCCCACATTTCAAAAATCTTCTTAATTTCTGAAGAAGGCACCTTCTTCTATCTCTCTTCCTCCTCCTCTGCAGCAAGATTCTGAGCTGTGATCTGTTGCTGTTCCTGCTGAAGCTCTTGCAGCTCCTCAGTGGTTAGCTCTTCGTTGTGGTCCTCCACCAACTCTCCCACATCCTCCAAACTCACATCCAACCCCATGGAACTCCCCAATGCCACAATAGATTTCACAACTGACATAGGCTCATCAGGGTCAGCCACAAACCCTTCAAAATCCCTCTTGTGGACACAATCTGGCCACAATTTTCTCCAAGCAACAACAGCTTCCTTGATTTCCTTTTTCTTTGCCACGATGGAAGATATGGTTGTATGGGGTTTGTTATACATCCTGGCCAGTTCGGCCACACGTATGCCACTTTCGTATTGTTCAATGATGTTTTTCTTAAATTCAGTCATATTTCTCACCTTCTTTACCAAAGGCTTGGCACTAGGAGCTTTCTTTGGAGCCATGGTAGCTTATTTAGCACTTGTAAGCACTAAGATGAATGGAATATTATAAAATATTTTGCATAAACAAGTGAGGGGACTGTCACTCACTGGTAAACAATGGCACACTGGCTGGGAAGGGAGGCCAAGGCGGCTCAGAGCTGTGAGTACACGTCAAGGACGAGCAACGATTAGCGAGTCAACCGACCATTTGCAAGCCAATGTTTGGACGAAAATAAAGCGATGATTTCCGAAAAGGACAACTATTGAGCCCGACGATTATCGAGGGACCATTGTACCTTGAAATTGAGCTCAAAGTAGTAGAAATGTTCGATTTTTGCCCAAGTTCAAAAGTAAACAAATCATGCCACGCATCCAATACATGTCAACTGGCGAGTCTAATATTCTTTCACAAGTGCGCTGATATTATTTATACCATTTCTACACTAATGCAGTAGTCTGCATAACAGTAAATCTTCTATTTTTTGTGAGAATAAAAATTCAAAGTGGAAAGCAAAAGAAATGTAAGAGGGGCCTGGGGATGTGACTAATGAACAGAGGAAATGTTATTTTAGTGCCAAGAATGTCTGTCTTGTTTATTCTGGACCCTATTTGGAAATTGGCATCTTTTGAAATTTGTGTGAAATTGGCAAAATTATAATTTCTCACCACTTTATTGGATAGCTGAAATCAGTAAATAGTGGTTTCTTGTACTCATTCGATAGAAAAAATGGAGTTCTAGTGAAATAGTTATGATTTTTGTTGACTAGCACACTGGAATTGGCCGAAAATAGGGCTCAAAGTGGGCGAAATCGCTGATACGTAAACATCGTCGAGACCGCTAACTTCGCAAGAGCATAATTCCATAGGTTTTCCATCGAATTTCAGACTTTTGGTGTCATTATGATCGGGAAAAGATTCTCTATCTTTTCATGGGAAATTTTTTTTTTTTTTTTATGAAAAGTTTTCAACCCTGAGAACAAGTTTAGAAGAGGACCTCCTGACCCTGAAAGGGTTAACAGAACTGCATTAAGCCATCATTATAATATTTTCAGCGTAAAAGAATGAGGTCGTTTAACTCACCTATAGCATCTTCTGGAGAAACATTGACAGTATCTGTGTATATATACTGTAGAAATGCTCGAAACACAACAAATGAGTAGTCTTTGACTTCAACCTCTCTGTTGAAAAATTTACACAAATTAATTGTGGTGCTGTATAATTAATTTTAAAAAATGTCAATCAGATTAAGGAATACCCTTCCATGTTTTTCAAATTCTAAGTTGCAAGTAGCAACAGGAAACAAAAACAAATGCAAAATATAGGGAAGAGGTGTTATAAATCACAGTGAATATGTTCATTTATTGTAGTGTCTACAAGAGGGATTTTTTATTATTTCACTGGCAATGTATATGCAAATACTCTGCATAGCCTGCTACTGGTAATGCAGCATATTAATGTATGAAAATTGGTATACGTGTATACTGTATCTATTTAGCAAAATTATACTTGACATACACAAAAATATAAAATACAAAACACAAGGAATCTACATCACCAGAAAGATAACATTAAAAAAAAAAAATCACACTGAGCTTCTTAATTTATTACATTACTCTGTGAAGTAACTTAACATATATAAGCAAGAAAAAGTTCTAGTAAACTCATAGAAACTGCAATATTTTTTCCATGCAGCCTTGTTTTACTTAGTAACATGACAGATTAATCCTTGAAAGAATAGACACAATACCATTACTGGAACAATATACAAATAACCCTATGACTAGTTAATGGTCCAAACCAGACCAAAACATCATAATTTTCAGTCACTTTATACATAAATAAAATAAGAATGTATTGCTACATAAAAAAGTACCAATGTCATTTATGCAAAATACCACAGCAGAACATCATCAGCAGGGGCTCTAGTGTTTACCTCTAGGCAACTAAAACGATGTTATCAAGCAAATATTATGAATTTGCTCTCCCTTTCTGAACTGCTAAGAACAGGTACCATGCCTAAACTTTTAAGTTTAGCAATTCCAAAAACTTCTTAATGAGAATTCTGTATGTGGATGAACTCATTTCTGAAGAAAGAGGTGGGGCAGATAAAAAAAATCCTTCCATTTTCTTTTTTTAAATTAATACATTGGCCATTTCTCACTGAGGCAGGATGACCAGAAAAATAAGAAACACTTTCATCATCACTCACTCATCAGTGTCTTGACAGAGGCATGCTAACACTACAGTTCAAAAACTGGAACACATCTCCACCTTCTTCAGAGTGCAGGCACTGTACTCCTCACCTCCAGGACTCAAGTCTGGCTAACCAAATTTTTTTTTTTTTTCTTAACAAGTCGGCCGTCTCCCACTGAGGCAGGGTGAACCAAAAATATTGAAACTAAATACAGCCTCTCCTCACTTAACAATGGAGTTCCGTTCTTGAGACCACGTCATTAAACGAATTCGTCGATAAGTGAGGAACATAAGCTCTAATACACATTATTTAGGTATGAATACTGGTCACAGACCGGGCCGCGGGGGCGTTGATCCCCAGAACTCTCTCCAGGTAAAACTCCAGGTAAAGAGTCTGTAGTAAGTCCGAGGCATCAGTAAACGAGTACATCGCTAAGTGAGGAGAGGCTGTAATCATTATTATGATTCAGTAAAGTAGTTCAAATACAGGTAATCACCCATTTTAAAATGAATAAAAATGAAAATTTACAGTCACAATTACTCTGAGTTGGCCACTTTTATGTGAGGTTCAAAACCCTGTATGTGTATTATCATGATTTAACCTTTTTGAGGTGGGTCCTGTTGTACTACGGCTTTGAAGCGCAGGTCGATCCCATAGTACTACACCATAAGCTCAGCTCACTCAGGTAAGCTGCGAGTGGTAAATTTTGGCCTAGATATGAGAGAATGGGTCTATGCAGTAAGTGTGCACCATATAAAAAAATCCTGTAGTAAGCAGTGCATGGGGGAAAAAAAAAAGTGACCATATTTCAGGTTTAAAACAGCGAATTTAGGGTGTATTTTCATATGGCTTTTATGGTTGCATTCTCAGTTTCTTGGTCTCATTTGACAATTGAAGCTATGTTATATAAATAGAAATGATTTTGATTGGCTTCAGGAATGAAAGTAGCCTGAGACTAAGCTCAAAGTAGTGGAAATGTTAAATTTTTTTTGATATTCCACAGTGAAGAAATTACAATACTAGTCCAATAAGTGTCCAACTGGTCAGGCTAATGTTTACACAAATGCAGTGACAATATTTATACAATTATTACAATAATGCATTAGTCTTCATAACAGTAAATCTATTTTTTTGTGTGTGAATAGAAATTCAAAATGGAAAGCAACCGTAAGTATAGGAGAGGCCTGGGGATATAACTAATGAACAGAGTATGTGTTTTTTAGTGCCAGGAATGTCTACAATGTTTATTCTGGATCCTACTTTTACACTGGCAATTTTTCAATTTTGTGTGAAATTGGCCAAATTACCAATTTCTGATCACTTTATTGGGTAGTTGAAATAGGTAAATGGGCAGTTTCTCGTACTTAGTCGATAGAAGGAATACTAGTAAAATAGCTGAGTTTGGTTGACTGGAACAATGGAATTGGCTGAAAATAGGGCTCAAAGTGGGCAAAATCGCTGATACATAAATATCGCAAAGACTGCTAACTTTGCGAGAGTTATTCCGTAAATTTTCTATAAAATTTCACACTTTTGGTTTCATTACCTTTGGAAAAAGTTTCTATTTCATTTCATAAGAAAAAATCGTTTTTTTTTTTTTAAATTCTTCAACTCTAAGAACAATTCTTAGATCAGGGCTAAGCTTATAAGTGATGGAGAGAGCTCCAGCTCTCTTTCTGATTGAGTTGTAATGGAAAAGCAAAGATAACTATACACCAGCAAATAGTATATAATTTAGCCATATTAATTTGACTTGTAGGAAAGAGGGAGGTTGCTTCCCAGTAAAAGTAGGTCTTAGACAGGGATGTGTGATGTCACCATGGTTGTTTAACATATTTATAGATGGGGTTGTAAAAGAAGTAAATACGTATTGCAAAGGTTAGTGGATGAGTTTGGGAGGGTGTGTAAAGGTAGAAAGTTGAAAGTGAACACAGATAAGAGTAAGGTGATGAGGGTATCAAATGATTTAGATAAAGGAAAATTCGATATCACATTGGAGGGAGGGAGTATGGAAGAAGTGAATGTTTTTAGATATTTGGAGTTGACTTGTCAGTGGATGGGCTTATGAAGGATGAGGTTAACCAGAGAAATGATGAGGGATAAAAGGTGAGTGGTGCATTAAGGTATTAATGGAGACAAAGAATGTTATCCATGGAGGCAAAGAAGGGAATGTACAAGAGTATAGTGGTACCAACATTCATATATGGGTGTGAAGCATGGGTTGTAAATGCTGCAGCGAGGAGGCGGCTGGAGATGTTGTGCCTAAGGGCAATGTGTGGTGTAAATATTATACAGAAAATTCATAGTGTGGAAATTAGGAGGTGTGGAGTTAATAAAAGTATTAGTCAGAGGGCTGAAGAGGGGCTGTTGAGGTGGTTTGGTCATTTAGAGAGAATGTAATAAAGCAGAATGACTTGGAGAGCGTATAAATCTGTAGAGAAAGGAAGGCAGAGTAGGGGTCGGCCTCAAAAAGGTTAGAGGGAGGGGGTAAAGGAGGTTTTGTGGGCAAGGGGCTTGGACTTCCAGCAAGTGTGCATGAGCATGATAGATAGGAGTGAATGGAGACGAAAGGTTTTTGGGACCTGATGAGTTGTTGGAGTTTGAGCAGGGTAATATTTTGTGAAGGGATTCATGGAAACCAGTTAGCTGGACTTGAGTCCAGGAAATGGGAAGTACAATGCCTGCACTTTAAAGGAGAAGTTTGGGATATTGTCAGTTTGGAGGGACGTCTAAGCTGTCAGATCTGAGCGCCTCTACAAAGACAGTGATTATGTATGAGTGATGGTGAAAGTATTGAATGATGACGAAAGTTTTTTCTTTCTCTTTCGGTCACCCTGCTTTGGTGAGAAACGGCAGACATGTTAAAAAATTTTTTTTGCCTCATTATGCTTAAAATTTGTGTCAAGATCCATGAAAATATCTCTAAACAGTTATAAAGAGAGAGGAACAAAAAAGGAATACTTTCAGTACCAACTGATAATACTGTTAAAAGGACTGATGAATAAGGTAATATTTTGTGGAGGGATTCAGGGAAACTAGTTAGCCAGACTTGAGTCCTGGATGTGGGAAGTACAGTGCCTGCACTCTAAAGTTAGGGGTTCAGGATATATGCTGTTTGGAGGGATATCTCAACTGTTGTATCTGCACGCCTCTGGCAAGACAGTGATAGTGCGAATGATGGAAAGTGTTTCTTGTTTGGGTCATCCTGCCTCAGTGGGAGACAGCCAGTGTTAAAAAAAAAAAACTCAAAAGTCTCCCTCAGATTTAAATACCCATCTCCCACCGAGGCAGGGTGACCCAAAAAAGAAAGAAAATCCCCAAAAAGAAAATACTTTTATCATCATTCAACACTTTCACCTCACTCACACATAATCACCATTTTTGCAGAGGTGCTCAGAACACAACAGCTTAGAAGCATATACCTATAAAGATACACAACATAGCCCTCCAAACTGCTAATATCCCGAACCCCTCCTTTAGAGTGCAGGCATTGTACTTCCCATTTCCAGGACTCAAGTCCGGCTATATAAAAATAACCGGTTTCCCTGAATCCCTTCACTAAATAGTACCCTGCTCACACTCCAACAGATTGTCAGGTCCCAAATACCATTTGTCTCCATTCACTCCTATCTAATACGCTCATGCACGCTTGCTGGAAGTCCATGCCCCTCACCCACAAAACCTCCTTTACCCCCTCCCTCCAACCTTTTTGAGGACGACCCCTACCCTGCCTTCCTTTCCCTACAGATTTATACGCTCTCTATGTCATTCTACTTTGATCCATTCTCTCTAAATGACCAAACCACCTCAACAAACCCTCTTCTGCCCTCTGACTAATACTTTTATTAACTCCACCCCTTCTCCTAATTTCCACACTCCGAATTTTCTGCATAATATTTACACCACACATTGCCCTTAGACAGGACATCTCCACTGCCTCCAACCGTCTCCTCGCTGCTGCATTTACCACCCAAGCTTCACACCCATATAAGAGTGTTGGTACTACTATACTTTCATACATTCCCTTCTTTGCCTCCATAGATAACGTTTTTTGTCTCCACATATACCTCAACGCACCACTCACCTTTTTTCGCTCATCAATTCTATGATTAACCTCATCCTTCATAAATCCATCCGCCGACACGTCAACTCCCAAGTATCTGAAAACATTCACTTCTTCCATACTCCTCCTCCCCAATTTGATATCCAATTTTTCTTTATCTAAATCATTTGATACCCTCATCACCTTACTCTTTTCTATGTTCACTTTCAACTTTCTACCTTTACACACATTCCCAAACTCATCCACTAACCTTTGCAATTTTTCTTTAGAATCTCCCATAAGCACAGTATCATCAGCAAAAAGCAACTGTGTCAATTCCCATTTTGTATTTGATTCCCCATAATTTAATCCCACCCCTCTCCCGAACACCCTAGCATTTACTTCTTTTACAACCCCATCTATAAATATATTAAACAACCATGGTGACATTACACATTCCTGTCTAAGACCTACTTTTACCGGGAAGTATTTTCCCTCTCTTCTACACACCCTAACCTGATTCTCACTAATTACTTACTCTAAATTGTTCTCCTTCCAGTGTTCTTGAAACATGTTTCGAAAATATTGACATCTTATCTTAAGGACTGCACGATGAGCTCGAATCCTTCGGTCGTCTACCACAAATACTACATCAGCAGTCTCCTGATATATAAAAAAAATAATGCTCTGTAAAATAAATGAACTGAATATTTTGTGTAAAGATTAGATATGTTAAAAAAAATGTGCAAGAACATGAAAAATTTAATCCCTACTCACAACAAAATTTGATCTTATTACTCAAACAAAAGATATACTAACTGCAAAAAAGTGATATCAGAAACTAAATACAGTGTACATAACATTTTTTGCAAAAACTAACCAATTATACAAAGGACAAACAAACAAAATTTTAAGCACTCAGGTAACTAAACAGAAGTCTGCTAAGTATGCACAAGACAGTTCAGATAATTTCCAGTATCAAAACATAATATTAACTGTGATGCTGCTTCCTTTATACTGTACAGAGAACAAACTGCATGTATAAGCACAAAAATCTTGAGTCAACTATAATTGCATTATGACCCAATTTCAGCCTTTCTCAAAGCCAGCAGAAACTTAATGTTATACATGCATACCAATACCCTGAAATTACTTGCTCATGCACCTGACTTAGGTCATGTGACCTGCTTTTGCATTTGTACAATGTGGAGGTCAAAACAATCTCAGATAACCAAGAAGTGTTACAGCCTGAGTGTAGCCAAAGAAAGGAACTAACAATGGGAGAAAATCTATCCATTACATAGGTTTATCTAAAGGTTGTATCTAGCAGTTGACAACTTTGTTAAATGTTGTTGTTTACATTAGTTAACCCATGTACAGGAGAGCCCCACTTTACAGCGCTTCACTTTACAGCACTTCGCTAACACCGTGGTTTTCAATTATATTCATTCTTCATCTATTCAAGCTTCCTATAATAAACCCAGTCACTACTCACTTTATAAGGACGAAAATATTTTTAGGTAAGCAATGTGTGTACTGTATATGCATTTTTTAGGTCTAGCTATACTGCTCACTTAATATATGATAGAGTAAACATGATATGCTTTTATATGCATTTGAAAGTGAAAAAAGGATATATTTCACTTTACAGCAATTTTCACTTTACAGAGGTAGCCTGGAGCTGAATCTGCTGTATACGTGGGGCCCTCCTATATCCAAACTAAATGATCACGAAGCAACAGTAGCTATTAATTAGAATATTTATACCTCATCATCTAAAGCCAATGCCATTGCTTGTGCTAAGGAGGAACGAGTAAAGGTTGTAACACTGAGAGGTTCATAGGTGACACTTGGTGAGGCCCAGAGGGCAAACACCTCATGAAGACTACTAAATCCTGTCTCCTGGGGACCCACTACACTTTGACCTGAAAAAAAAAAAAAAAAGGAATCACTAATAAACTACAAATAAGCATCTATTTTTTTTCTATGCAGAGCTGTATAAAATTACAGAACGGTAGTCATCCCATATCCATGGGAGATAAGTTCCAAGACCTACTGTGGATACCTGAAACTTCGGATAGTAGCAAACCCAATATTTAAGTAATTTCTCGTTTACACACAAACCTATGATAAAGTTTAACTGATAAATTACACACAATAAGTTGAGAATTAGTACTTTTTCACTGATGGGAAGCACTTCATGACTTCTCTTAGGCTTTGAAGAACTGTCACCATCACTACTTTTGCACTGTGGTGCCATTAAGCAAAATTGATGGCTATTTTTGGGCCAAGGTAAACAGTAGATAACTGAAACTGTGGAAAACAGATCAGACTTGTCGCTAAGTGAGGAACATACTACAATGGTAGTGGGCTTGTGTCAACCATCTTTAATATTGTTTTAATGTCATCTTTGCACCATTTATAACATTTCTGGTATAGTTTTAAATGTTTATACAGTAGTGTACACTATATTGAAATTAACAGACTAGAGGAAATCAGCTCTAATATACATTATTTAGGTATAAATACTGGTCAGAGAGGCCATTGTAAGTCTGAGGTGTCAGTAAACAAGTACGTCACTAAGTGAGGAGAGGATGCATGTATGTGTACAAACACATACACACGTACACACATGCACATACAATCACACACATGCACGTACACACATACACATGCACGTACACACACACACACACACACACACACACACACACACACACACACACACACACACACACACACACACACACACACACACACACACACACACACACACACGTGAATGACATAACGGAAGGGATAGACTCAGAAGTGTCCTTGTTTGCGGACGATGTGAAGTTAATGAGAAGAATCAAATCGGATGAGGATCAGGCAGGACTACAAAGAGACCTGGACAGGCTACAAGCCTGGTCCAGCAACTGGCTCCTGCCAAATGCAAAGTCATGAAGATTAGGGAAGGGCAAAGAAGACCGCAGACACAATATAGTTTAGACGGCCAAAGTCTGCAAACCTCACTCAAGGAAAAAGATCTGGGGGTGAGTATAACACCGAGCATATCTCCCGAGGCGCACATCAATCAGATAACTGCTGCAGCATACGGGTGCCTGGCAAACCTACGGATAGCGTTCCGATACCTCAGTAAGGATTCGTTCAAGACTCTGTATACCATTTACGTCAGGCCCATACTGGAGTATGCAGCACCAGTTTGGAATCCACACCTAGTCAAGCACGTCAAGAAATTAGACAAAGTGCAAAGGTTTGCAACAAGACTAGTCCCAGAGCTACGGGGATTGTCCTACGAAGAAAGGTTGAGGGAAATCGGCCTGACGACCTGGAGGCAAGGAGGGTCAGGGGAGACATGATAACGACATATAAAATGCTGCGCGGAATAGACGAGGTGGACAAAGACGGGATGTTCCAGAGATGGGACACAGACACAAGAGGTCACAATTGGAAGTTGAAGACTCAGATGAATCAAAGGGATGTTAGGAAGTATTTCTTCAGTCATAGAGTAGTCAAGCCATGGAATAGCCTAGAAAGTGAAGTAGTGGAGGCGGGAACCATACATAGTTTTAAGGCGAGGTATGATAAAGCTCATGGAGCAGGGAGAGAGAGGACCTAGTAGCAATCAGTGAAGAGGGTGGGCCAGGAGCTATGACTCGACCCCTGCAACCACAAATAGGTGAGTACAAATAGGCGAGTACACACACACACTTGGAGCTTGAACTCGACCCCTGCAACCTCAACTAGGTGAGTACACATGGAAAAGGGAGAGAATGAACCTAGTAGCGACCAGTGAAGCAGGGCCGGGAGCTATGACTCGAACCCCGCAACCATAATTAGGCGAGAATTAGTTGTGTACACATACACAGTGAAGAGGCAGGGCCAGGAGCTATGGTTCAACCCCTGCAACCACAAACAGGTGAGTACACACACACACACAAGCACGACTGAGAGACAAATAAGAGTACCAGAGTGTGTACCTCGATCGACACAGAACACAAGAGGAAAGGTTGATACTGAAAGAGAGAGTACAAAAATGAAAGAAGGATGGAGAGGAAATGACAAAGATGAGCAGAAGAACCCAGATGCAGGTGGAAGGGCAAACACACCCTCCAGAAACACCCACAGAAGGACTCCAACTGCGACAACCCCAAGGCAACTGAGCAATCTGAACCAACACTCACACAGTCTGACCAAGTCTGACCCGAAACTGCTATACGTATAGCGACATTAGGAGGAAGGCAACAGTCAGAGACCAGGTGAACAGGCTGAGGAAAGTAGGTGGGAAACTCACCAGAAGCGATCAAGAGGTATGTGAGGAGCTCAACAAGAGATTTAAGGAGGTGCGTGCAAGCGTGCGTGAGCGTGTTAGATAGGAGTGAATGGAGACGAATGGTACTTGGGACCTGACGATCTGTTGGAGTGTGAGCAGGTAATATTTAGTGAAGGGATTCAGGGAAACCGGTTATTTTCATATAGTCGGACTTGAGTCCTGGAAATTGGAAGTACAATGCCTGCACTTTAAAGGAGGGGTTTGGGATATTGGCAGTTTGGAGGGATATGTTGTGTATCTTTATATGTGTATGCTTCTAGACTGTTGTATTCTGAGCACCTCTGCAAAAACAGTGATAATGTGTGAGTGTGGTGAAAGTGTTGAATGATGATGAAAGTATTTTCTTTTTGGGGATTTTCTTTCTTTTTGGGTCACCCTGCCTCGGGGGGAGACGGCCGACTTGTTAAAAAAAAAAAAAAAAAAAAAAAATTTACAGTGGAGACAGGAAGGCCTCTGGATGGACAGAATAGAGGGGGATGCCAACAAGGAATATACCAAAAAGTGTTGGATGACATACACACAACTGAGGAAGAGGTGAAGAGGCTGCTAAGGGACCTTGATACCTCAAAGGCAATGGGACCAGACAACATCTCCCTGTGGGTCCTTAGAGAGGGAGCAGAAATGATGTGTGTGCCACTAACCACAATCTTCAACACATCCCTTGAAACTGAGCGACTACCTGAGGTATGGAAGATGGCAAATGTAGTACCCATATTTAAAAAAGGAGACAGAAAAGAGGCACTAAACTATAGACCAGTGTCACTGACGTGTATAGTATGCAAAGACATGAAGAAGATTATCAGGAGAGTGGTGGAGCACCTGGAACGAAACAAGAGTATAAACACCAACCAGCATGGATTTTTTTTTTTTCAACAAGTCGGCCGTCTCCCACCAAGGCAGGGTGACCCAAAGAGAAAGAAAATCCCCAAAAAGAAAATGCTTTCATCATTCAACACTTTCACCTCACTCACAATCACTGTTTTTGCAGAGGTGCCCAGAATACAACAGTTTAGAAGTATATACATATAAAAATACTTTTCCCCCAACTTCAGAGCCACCAATGCTCCTATGATGACCTTGTTACAAGCAAAACTGCACTACCCAACGTAGCACCCAGAATGACCAAAGATTACCAACAGTGAAACCTACAAATCGAAAATAATAGAGATCAAAGGAAGACTGCCCTCAAACCCAAAGTAACACCCCGCTGCCAACCGAACAACGTAACCCTAAGCTTTGTATAACTACAACAATTCCTGTACTATTATGAGGCGCAATCTCAGAGGAAACAGCACCAAGGCCAGCAAGAAAACACCGAAAAATCAACTATTCAACAAGTGTAGCCAGGAGGACGCCGGCCCAGCAACCACCCCTCTCACCACCGCTCGAGGCAACACCACAACAATAACAACAAACATGGCTGCCCCCAACCCATCCACCCTTCTCTTCCCCGGATTCAACCTACCAAGTAGTCTCTCAGGTATGACCAACGATCCAGATACCCTAAAGTCATGCATCTCCACCTTAGTTATTGAAAATATGAATCTTCGAGAGACGCTAACAAAATAAGACACCAGGATGACACAACTCGAGAACAAAATCCTCAGTCTTGAACAAAAGTTATCAACACCAGGAATGACTAACTATGGCAAAACCATCCAAACAGTCATAGATAGCCATACAGAACAAATAAAATCTCTTAATACAAAGGTTGAAGAAGCAGTAAAAGAATGGAAGAACAACTTAGATAACCAGCTCAGTGACTATTTTGCTCTCCAAGAAGATAAAACTGAGCAAGATAAACTATCGGACGCAGTAATAGTTAACAGTCCACTTTTTCCCAGTGATATGAACCAGATGAACAGTAAAGAAATTACTCTTCAGATCATAAAGGATCAAACAAAGGTTACAGTACCAGAGTCAGAAATAAAGGAAGCCAGGTTCCTAGGATCCCATGGTAGAAAAAGTGTTATGCTTAGATTCTACTCACATGACAGGAAAAAGACTTAATAATTGCATCTATTAAAGTAAAGAAAGAGGTATACATAAACGAGTGTCTTACCAAAAAACGTCAGAACCTCCTGTATAGAGTCAGAAAACTTAAGCGGAAGAATAATGACACAATACACCAATGCTTCACACGGGATGGGAAAATTCTAGTTAGGAAAACAAATGTAGGTCAACTGTACACAATCACGAACGAGAATGATCTATCATGATTTCTCAGGGATACTAATCTTACAGAGAATAACTAAACAATCTTTCTTTCTTTCAACACACCGGCCGTATCCCACCAAGGCAGGGTGGCCCAAAAAGAAAAACGAAAGTTTCTCTTTTAAATTTAGTAATTTATATGGGAGAAGGGGTTACTAGCCTCTTGCTCCCAACTAAACAATGTCCAACCTAAAAGCCTACGTAGTGTAGTGTATGTTTTGCTCCATTATTGTTCAAATTTCATAGTACAATCTCTTAGTAATTAAATAATCAACTACCTCATTATGTGATTTTACTAGTAAGCATAAGTCACCTTATGTAATTTTCTTTTTT